CAAGACCAAGCTGGTGAAACCCACAGAAACAGCTGACCTGAACAAGGGAGAGCTCTTGGTCCCCAGATTGATAGCTGGGAAACCAGCATGGGACTGATCCAGACTCCATGAATGAGGGTGTCAGTGAGGATGCCTCAGAAATCTATGGGGCCTCTTGTAGTAGATCAGTACTTATCCCTAGCATAGGAATGGACTTTTGGAGCCCATTCCACATAGAGGGATACTCCCTGAGCCTAGACACGGTGTGTGTGTGTGTGGGAGGCTTAGGCCCTATCCCAAAGGATATGACAGACTCTGAAGACCCCCTATGGAAGGCTCACCCTCCCTGGGGAGCAAAAAGGATATGGGATAGGTAGGGTGTTAGTTGGGATGGGGCAGGGGAGAAGGGGAGAGCGGGGGAACTGGGATTGACATGTAAAACAATCTTGTTTCTAATTTAAATAAAAAATGGAGAAAAAGAAGAAGTCCTGTCCTGTCACTTCTGAAAAGGCTTCCCAGAAACAGGCAATAGCCAGGCAAGACATTTATAGTCCATGAAAAGAAATGGATTCTCTCTATTCTGGTCACTTCAACTAATAATACATGTTTGGAACAGGTAAAAAATGATAAAGGCATGCCTTATCCGTTTTATTTTGACTTAAAGCACATACATGTCAAAAATACTTTGAAGGGCTGTGGGCTTCTATCATGGTGTGGGGTCTACTGATGGGAGTTTACATACTGCCCCATTAGATAGTTACAATAGTTTCCAATTTGGAGTTGCATAAACTGGAGCCTACAATTAAGAGCATTTGGACCTGAAAACATGGATCTGCAGGTGACTGGAGCTCGGGGACCTGATGCCCTCCTCTCACCTCATTGGGCAGCCCCCACCTGATGGGGGATGTCCTTTTGTATGCTGTGAATATAGTTTCTCTTATTGGTTGATGAATAAAGCTGTTTTGGCCAATGGACAGGCAGGATGTGACCAGGCAGGAAGTATAGGCAGGGCTACCAGACTAGGAGAATTCTGGGAAGAGGAACACAGAGGGTGAGTCAAGAGAAAGATACCATGTAGCTACTGGGACGATAGGATGCTGGGAATTCTCCGGTAAGCCAAGACCACTTGGAGATACACAAGTTAATAGAAATGGGTTAATGATTAAGAGAGAGAGAGAGCTATCCAATAAGAGGCCTGAGCCATTGGCCAAGCAGTTTATAACTAATATAAGCCTCTGTATGTTCATTTGGGACTAAACAGCAGCAGGACCAGGTGGGACAGAAACTTCTGTCTACACCCACCACATACACATAAAGTAATACTAATAATGCTATTAATACTACTTATAAAATCATTTAAAAATTAAGAGCATTTAAAAATCAATCTGAAAGGCAACATCAATCTTGTTTCCTTCAAAAGATAACAATATATCTTTACCCTGTATTTGTCTGTTGTCTGTGGTGATATATTGTTTATGATTCATTAAAGCCACTGGAGTTCAAAATAACAAAGCAGCCCATACAAGTTAGCCATAGAAGCCAGGCACACACCTTTGATCCCAAGACTCCAGAGAAAGGCACATGATCTCTGAGTCCAAGACTACCCTGGGCTACCAGAGAGTGAATCAGAGCTCATGCCTTTAATCTCAGGATTTGAGAGGTATAAAAGGTAGAGGCATTCAGTCTGAGAGTTAGTCTCTAGCCAGGTTGAGGAGAGCATAGCAGTCTGAGTGAATCTGAGGAGCAGTGAAATTGGGAATAGTTTGGGGATCGCCCCTTTGGTCTGAGCTGAGGTAGAGGTAAGAGCTAATGGCCAGCTGCTTTGCTTCTCTGATCTTCAGCTTGAAGCTTGAACCCCAATATCAGTCTCTGACTTATTTATTTCTCATGCTACAGTTGTCTGGCCTATAGCTGATTCTCTGTGGAGACTGACTGTTAGGGTTTTCTTGGGGAAGATTAAAAATGACCTGGAACTTTAAGAACTGGTAGGCCTCTGTGAGCCCTCCCTTCTCCAAAGTGGGTGGTATGAGAATTTAAAAAATTAAAGGCAGAGAGACACATGAAATCATATGGTACGTCCAGCAGATTACAAAAGTCTGCACTGCTGATTTTAGAAGATGAAACAGAAGAAGAGAGAAGGTTGGAATCGAGAACATGTGGTTCCAATCAGGCAGCAACATGAATTTGTGTGTTTCCTCATCATGCCCATCAGAGTGTATTAGCTGTGTGGCAGGTCCTCAGCAAAATTGTGGAACACTTCTGAGGTTCAAGGATGAGAATGTCCTAAAGCAGCCAAAGTCTGGTGAGGAAAATGTGTGTGTGTGTGTGTGTGTGTGTGTGTGTGTGTGTGTGTGTAAGGAAATGTCTTTTTTCTTCTCATAATATGTGCATTTGGTGTGTATGCATGTTTCATGTGTGCACACATGCACATGAAGGCTCAAGGTTGATATGGAGAGTCTCGATTGCTGTTCCACCTAATTCTTTAAATTAGAGTTTCTCAACCAGACTTAGATCTCGCCACTTCAGCTAGCCTCCATTGCCAGCTTGCTCTGGGAATTCATTCTTGCACACCAAAATTGGAATTACAGGTAGACCACTATGCCTACCCATTATTTCCCTGGGTCTCAGGGGAATTTGAACTCTGGTACACTTAGGATTTAACTGCTGAGCCATCTTCCCAGCTACTAGGGAAGTGTTTTAAGAGCTGGTCAAGTTGAATCTGATGCCAACAGGATTGTAATAATTCTAGCTACTTGAGAGCTTGAAACAGGAAGGTGGAGAGTTTAAGAACTACCTGGGCTATAGAAGAACCAAATGAATGGATATCTGGAGGGACAGAGGAAGTGCAAGAGCAAAAACCTAAAAACTAGGGCAATGGTGCAGACTTTGAAAACATTCATGTTTGATCTGAGTTTTCAAGGGTAAAAGGAGGCCAGAATAGGGGTGACACGCTACCTCCTGACTGACAGCTGAGGCTTCCTTGGGCTGTGCACTATGTTCATTTCCTGTCCTGGGTCTCCTTTCTGAAGAAACCCAGCCTGTCACTAAGAGTTCAGTACAGTCCACAGAGAAAAACCATATGTGGTACATCAACAGCAGACTTGGCTATCCAACAGCTGCCTCACAGCGAAAGTCGTGTATATAACCCAGGCAGAAGGTATGCTCATCTCCCATTTCTCAGGTGGAATCCAGCCCAAAGGTATGGTGTAGTCTTTGTATTGATTTATAGAGATGGCTGAATGGGTAAAGGCGAGGATGCAAAGCCCTATGTCCAGAGTTCGATTCCCAGAGCCCATATGGTGGAAGGATAGAACCAACTATGCCAAGTTGTCCTTTTCCCTTTACATATATACAGTGTTGAGCATAGCCGCATTGTTCTCATGTGAGGTAAACCAAAGACATTAGTTCATTAATTGACTGAATTTCTCAACTTTAAACGGATTCTTTGAAAAGATGTTTAGCAAAGTGGCATGGCACTTAATTCATGGTACTTAGAAATTTAAATGATTGGGAAAATATTCAACTAAACTTAAGTTATTAAATTATATTTACTTAGACAATGTATTAAACGGATATTTTTTTAGGAATTGTATTTTAAAGAAAGGAGGAAAAGAGAGGGGGAAGACTAAAATTGAGCAAATATGTGAAAATGTGGCTTTTGAAGAAATTAAAGTGTGAAAAAAGAAGTTTGCCATAAATGATGGCGGGATAGAGTGTTTTTTGAGACAGGATCTCACATAGCTCAGACTGGCCTCAAACTCACTGTGAGCCAAAGCTGACCTTGAATTCCCAATCCTCCGGCCTACAGTGTTCTCACAGTGCTAAGTTTGTGGGATTTCACCAACATGATGAGCACTCTCTCACTTTAATACTCAAGCAAAGTTCATAATGCTCCACATCTCGTAGGTCTTCAGGCTCATGAAAGTATTAATAAAAGTCTATATAAGTTCTATACATTTTCTGAAAAAATATAATTCTATGTACATGCCTATATTATTTAAATACTTTTAGGTGCTATGGAAGAATAACTTAGAATCACTCAAAATGTTGTCAAATTCATTTCTTGGTCTTTATGTAATATTTATATTACTGAATACTCCAAATACAGCTACAGTCATAGAGGTACCCTTATTCTCTTAAAGACTGGATACTCGCTGCTCCTTCCCACCCACCCACTGCTCAGGGTTCTCATCTAGCAGGCATCCAGGAGGACAATGGATCTACATTTCTATGAAGCTCACAGGTAACACAAATGAGGCTGACCAAGGACTGCACTCTGACGACCTCTGCCCTCCCCGTATGTAGCTCCTCCACACCCTGGTTTTATAGTAAACCCAGAAGTAGAAAGAGAACAGTATGTGTGTGGGAGGTAACATTGAATACTATTCTAGTAATTTACTTCTCCAGGTTTTTTGTTTTGTTTTGTTTTTAAAGACAGGTTTTCTCTGTGTAGCCTTGGCTGTCCTGGTACTCACTCTGTAAACAAGGCTGGCCTCAGGCTCACGGAATTCCACCTGTGTCTGCCTCCCAAGCCCTGGGATTAAAGGTGTGCACCACCACCAGGATTTTGATGCTAATCAGGGACTGTGTTTGGTTCTGGTCTTTGTTACAAAACATGTGGTGTAAACAATTCAAGAAGAGGATAGATTTATTTTGGTTCGTGGTTTCAATCTGCATTCATTTGACTCATTTGAGGCCTGTGGCAAGGCAGAAACATAGTAGGGAGGAGGGCATGGTAGCCAGAAAGCAAAGAGCATGCCTGTCCTGGCTGCTCCTTTGTTCCATGCAGCCCCAGCCTACACATACGGACGGTGGGTCTTCCCAGATGCCAACCATCTTCTGTTTTACTAATCTGTCTCGATCTTGTGGGAACTGTTTTCCTCATCTGTAAAGGAGAAATCATTTAAAATCTCCCTAAATTAGATCTCAGTCTGATAACAGAAGTGTGAAGCTCTGACGGCCCAGGTCTGGGGTATAAGAACTGTATCTCCTCAGTGTTCACTCTGTTCTCTGTCCAACAGCCACACCTTTAACTCCAGCTCCTCCCAGTACTGCCGTCCTATCTCCACACAAAGCATCACCAGCACAGACTCCGGAGACAGCGAGGAGAACTATGTCCCTATGGTGAGTCCTCACTCACTCACTGGCCTGCCTGCCAGTTCTTCCCCGCTCATGTCATGGCCACCTTGCACTGCAGCCTTCTGCTGCAGACCCTTCCTTGACAGATGAATGTTACCCACCATTAGAAATACACAGCTTTGTCCCTAAGGAAGTCATTCTCACTACTGTAATTCAGGTGGCATGATTGGTGCCCTTAGAGAGACATGCAGGTATATAACTCCCCGTGGTGGTGGCAGTAGTAGAAACACACACATAGCATGATGTGGTTCCTCTCTAAGGTCACTGAAAAGGGCACAGCTGCAAGGCTGCTGAGATTCAGAGAACAGATCAATCATTAAGATGGGACTGTCACTTCTTACTACAATCAGACCTTGGCACCTTTAAGACAAACTGCTCTCTTAAAGCTGAAGACAGGGCCCTAGAACCTTTCACATGGAGAATGGCTGAAGAAATGAAGACTGTTGCCCAGAAACAAAGGGACTTGTTCAGGTCCCTGTGGAGAAGAGCAGAGGGAACCAGCTGCTTATGGCCAGATGTGATAGGAAACTCTGAAGTGTGGGAGAAAGTTGGTTATCAGGGACCTGCAAACTGAGGCTGGGCCTTCCAGGAGAGACAGTGCCCTTAACAGAGCTCTCTAAAGGGAGGCAGACAGGTACATGAGTGGTCTGAAAACAGCTCTAGGGGACAGAGACATGACTCAGCGGTTAAAAGAACTGCTCTTCCAGAGGACCTGGGTTCAATTCCCAGCACTCACATGGCAGCTCATAACTGTAACTCCAATTCCAGGGGATCTGATACCCTCATATACACATACAGGCAAAACATCAATGCACAAAAAAGTAAAAACAAAAAATCATCTTTTTAAGAAAAATATCCCTGGCTCCTGTCACATACCAGGTGACTTCTTGTCCTTCCTAAACCTAGGTGTTTTAGCCTTTAGTGAATTGAACAGTTGTGTTAGCCACCTCCCAAGACTGCAATGAAGACTTGCATGAGAATATGAAAAGTCCCAGTGCATGGCTCAGTGCAGGACATAGTAGAGGAGCTCTTGCTCCGATAGGTTTTCAAGGTAACAGTTTGGGGCTGTTAAACTTACCCAGTTTTAATCTTTATCATAGCAAAACCCAGTGTCTGCATCCCCTGTTCCCAGTGGCACCAACAGCCCAGCTCCGAAGAAGAGTACTGGCAGCGTGGACTACCTAGCCCTAGACTTCCAGCCGGGCTCCCCGAGCCCTCACCGAAAGGTACCTGGAGGTTGGGGATTAGGAGACCCATTCCAGAGACATTCTATATGACTCATTGCACTTTAACTGGTGTTTCAGGGAACCAGTCCCCTCAGTCTATTGACTTCCATGAGTCTACCCATCTCCTTGCCATGGGATACACCCACAGGGATTGCTCAGGAATACAAAGGGCTTCAGTGAACAATCCAAGACATGGAGATCCTGTCTCTGTACCCTTAAAAAAAAAACTGTCTGGATGGGGTCAAGAGCCCTGATGGAGAAGACACCGTACCCTCACCAAGGACTACTCTCAGTCCAGGCAGCAAGGAGAAGATTACCTCAACAGTTCCCCTCAGCATGTTTTGAGAGCTCTAAAGCCTGGTGTTTATTGCCATATAGCACATCCATTTTCCTGGAAGTGTGGCCAAAGGAAGATGGGTGGAGGCATGAGTGAGGCCTGGACCAGTAGTGGTGGACTTACCCTGAAAGCTAGGAAGCAGATCCCAGCAGGCTATGGCCTCCAACATAGATAGGATTTCACTTTGAAGTCCACATTCAGCACAGACAAGACCTTGAGGCCATTCAAAGTGATAACCTTGTAGGTAACTCAGTCATTCCTTTTGTCCCCTCAGCCATCCACATCATCTGTCACATCGGATGAGAAAGTAGACTATGTCCAAGTGGATAAAGAGAAGACCCAGGCCCTGCAGAACACCATGCAGGAGTGGACAGATGTGCGGCAATCCTCAGAACCTTCCAAGGGTGCCAAGCTGTGATAAAGGGGGCCACGGAGCTCAAGGGCCACGAGGCAGCTGTTCAGAGCTAGCTCTTCTTTGTCACCTCCTCCCTCCCTCCCCACACCTCTCCTCTGTACCACTTTCAGCCTTTAAAGCACTCATCATCAGGGACCCTGACCCTTACCCCTTGGAGGCAAGGGCCTGATGGAGATACTTCCTCTGCCACTTGGGGTCCACCTATGACTTCTATCAATACTAGCTGTGCCTCCACCACCCTTGTTAGGAGCTGTTGCCAAAAAAAGAAAAAGAAAAAAAAAAAAAAAAGCTTCCTGCTTTGGACCCATCTGTCTGCTGCTTGGACTCTTAGAGGGAGGGCTGAGGCTCTGAGCCAGGCTCATGCCTCCTGTCTGCTCACAGCTCTCTACCCTCTACCTCAGGGCTGCTTCTCCATCCCCAGGGGATAACCCAGGGAGCCAAGGATCAGCAGACTAAAGTAGACATGGGTTCTCACATCCCTGCTGTTTTTGGCAAAGGAAAAGCAAGGTGCCAAGAGAAGAAATGGTTGATAATGAAGGTCAGAAGTTGCTTTGAGTGACAAAGAAATTAGGTCCCAAGGCACAGAAGGGTAGCTAATCACCTGCAGGGTGGTATCCAATTATCAGGCCATGATGTAGACTGGGAGAGGCAAAGGATGAAGGATAGCAGGAAGGAAAAGTGATGACAAGCAACCAGGAACAAAGAACAGGGCTTAGGGTAACAAACCCTGGAGCGAGAGGACTCTGCCACTCTGGGACAGGCAGTGCTCTTTCCTGGCCCAGACAGAGAAGACAGAGTGGGAAAGAGTAGGGGTAATGCAGGCGCTGGGATGCAGGGGGACCCTGGGACAGGAGTGTGGTAGGCCCAGGGACACTGTGGCAGTGATGGCACAGAAAGCAGGTTACTAGGAGGTAGGAAGGTGCAGAGATGACTTAGAGGCTGGGAAGCTGGCCATGCAGCAGGTGGGGTGGCATCCAAAGGGCCTGATAGAGAGCCCAAGGCCACATGCAGGAGTGCCACAGGAAGGAGAATGGGAAGGAGCCATACTTGATAAAATCTAGGAAATACATGAAGGTCTGGGTAATGGCTTGGGCCAGATAGAGGCACCTCTGACTGAGTGCCAGGCCAGGTCTTTGTCTCAGCTCTTCTCTAAGCTGTCCTCAGCTGCAGGGATGGTAGAGACTATCCCTCTTCTCCCATGGGGTCAGAGGGATGAGAAGCAGATATCACTTAAGGCTCCTAAGATATGGCAGGGAGAGCTGAATGTGTTTGTGTGGAAGGTTGTTGACCAAATCTTCAAACATTTCAGAGAAAACAGGGCAAACCAGCATTTCATTTTGTCTTAGAAGAACAGACCATTGTCCTCTAAATCTAGAACCTTTCAGCACTAACAGCACACCTCTCCTGTCTCCTCTAGAGAGCCCTAACAAGGAGTTCCTCAGTAATAGCCCCTCTTCTCACATGAGAATGGATCATTTAGTAATAGTTGCCAAGCCCTGTGCTACAGATGAATCCTACCTTGTGAGGTCACAACCAGTGAGAAAAGTAAAAGATGGACTACTTACAAGTACAGAGGAAGGGGAGATGCTAAGGGAGACTGGGCCACAGGGAGGGGAGGTGCCAGGGAACGAGCAGAGTGAGTTACCCAGAAAAGGTAGGCAGGGCTGGATCCCTGGAGGAGAGGGGGTGAGGGAAGCCTCAGCTTTGAGAACAGAAGGTGTTTGAAGGTATGAAGGCAGCCTCAGAAGTGTGTGCTGTCACCTTGACTGAAATGGGGTAGTGGTTGGTGGCACTGAACTAGGTTACAGGATACTCGGCTGGCTTTGCCCATGCTTATGGCACCCTTTAAGACTCTTCAGTGGGGCTCCCATGTGGCTAAGCTTTTGACTGGAGCTGGAGCTCATAGCAGATCCAGGTGTCATTGGCCCCAGAAGCCACCTGAGTGCATGTTCTGAGTTGAGTGTGCCATGTGGGTGGAACTGGCTGCCACTTATCGAGACTGAGGTGTTCAAGTCTAGTTAGTCCTGCTCTGGTTCAAACCTTTGAAAGCTGAGCTCTGACTCAAAATTCCCAGTCTCCTAGTGCTATGACTAATGTGACTACCAACCCATCCTCCAACCCCCAAATAGGAAAAGCCAATTCCATTAAAAAATAATAATAATAAAGTTCTTTGGCCTACCCATGGGTCAAAGTTCACCTCCCCTGGTGGCTGTCAAGGATTGAGACCCAAGAACACTCATTGCCTCTTAGCTAGCGTAGCTCCCACAAGTACCTGTCCTGCAGGGACACTTCCAGCTCCACCCTGCAAGATTAAAGTTGAGTAGGAACAGTGAAGAAAGGGCATGGCATCTCCTTGAGGCTTGCCAGTCTGTGAAATGGGATGGTCCCAGCTGATGCTGTGTTGCTATAAGGAGAACCTGAAGGATCCTTTGAAGGTCTGGGTCACTGGGGAGGGGCAGCACACAGAACATTAGCTAGTTAACTCCATCCCTCCCTATCTGTATTTTGCTGATAGCTATAGTTGACTCCATGAAAATCAGCCCCAGGCCCATAACAGAAGCACAACCATTCTCAAGTTACTGGAACGTGGGTTTGGGTCCAGTCTGCCTTTGGGCCACCTGTCTTCTACAGTCCCAGCCATGGCTCCCTCCCTCCCTACAACAGAGTTTTACAAGCTATGAGGGGAAGTAGCTCTTCCTTTCCATTTGGGCCTTTGGCTGTGAAGTGTGGGGAAGCAAGCTCACCTCCTCTGGCCATCTCTCTGGGACTTGCCATATTTGGGGCCTGGACCTGGCAAGAGCCCACCTCACAGGGCCATCTCTCTGGGACTTGCCATATTTGGGGCCTGGACCTGGCAAGAGCAGCCATACTTGACAGGGGTACCTAGTGGTGATTTGTGCTGTCATGGTATCTGGTGGTGTGTTTCTTGTGTAATCTGTTGGCTACTTGTGTCTTGAAACTTAGAATCATTTCACACAGGATTGTCACTCTTCATTGGGAAGAGAAAATGAAGTAGAAGCAGTCTAGTCTTACATTTGTGTCTTGTTGCCATTTAAGATTGACATTTAATTTTTCAAATCATTGTTGGTGCCTAATCACTTAAGTTATTAATTTATTCTGTTTTCAAAAAAAATTGTAACATGTATTTATCTTGTGAGGTCTGGGGGTGGGGCGGGAAATGTGTTCAAGTGAGTCATGTTTTTGCAGTGACAAATGGTACAGGCCTGGAGCTTGCAGGTCCCTTTTTATTATGGTGTAGAAGCAGGACAATAAAGTCCTTTAGAAATGCAACCCAGAGTGGGCTGCTGGAGATTGTCTTTAGGAGCGTGGAAACTTGCGCTTGTCCCATCCTGGGAAGCCTTGGGACTGACGCTGTCATACAGCCACAACACCTCTGACAAACTCCTTTCAGGGTCATTTTATGAATAAGCCCAGAAGCTGCTATGCCCAACTCTGTTCCATCCTGATGGGCTGTAACTGGGCACCTTTCCAGACCAGAAAGAAGAATGAACCCTCTTCTCGGACCAGCATCTGCCATGAGGGGTGGTGCACACCTATAATCCCAGCACTCCAGACGCTGAAGCAGGGGCAGGACGGTCAGTTTCCCTGACAGCTTCAGAGTCTGGCATTTGGACCAAAACTTCTACCACAGCCCCGAAACCCCTTGTCATAGCACCATTATCACCCCCCAACTGCTTTGCTCTTAAGAGGATGAATAAGCATGGAAGGAAGGGATTTGGGGGTGCAGGCCAGTCCAGACTCCCCCTGTATTCTCACAGCCACCCATGTCCCTCTTCGGCTTCAAGATTGAGACTATAACCTGAGGAAAAGAGCTGGATATTAGGACTGGAGAGATGGCTCAGCAATTTGGTTCCCAACACCTACTTTTGGTGGCTCACAACAGCACCTCCAGTTCCAGGGGATCTGGTGCCCTCTACTGGCCTCCTCACATACATGGTACATAGACACTCGAAGACACATTCATACAATAAAAAAAAATAATAAATCTTTTTTAAAAAGAGCTAGATGTTGACTCTGGAATGTTGGAGAACTGTTTCCCATGTTGTCCCAGCCCACACCTTGTCTATCCAGGAACAGGCTATGACCCCCTTTTCAGAGGAGGGAAACAGAAAGGCAGTGATGGTGGATGTTTCAAGGCAGCTCAGAATTGTTGGGTTTCTGTGTTCACTTGGCAAACAAATCTGCTCCAAGGTATTTCATGAAGCATCCCCAGCCACACCTCTCTATGCCCCAGGAGGCTGCCAGCTCTGAACCCTCCAAGGCCTAGCACCAAGCACCTCCAGGACAGGGGTGCATCCTCATCTTACCTACCAGGAGCCCAAGTTACTATCAAGACTGCTTAGACACAAGTGACCATCCCAGAGGACAGTAGACACCACAGCTCAAGCTGGAAGAAGAGCATCCTGCACAGGCTTCAGGGGAGCGAGTTTTATTCCTATTTAAGAACACGGGTTTCTTCTCTCCACTGAGAAGGGGCTATAGTAGTCTCAGGGCACAATGAGGTTGGGTGCATTACACAGGTCATACCCACCCAGCCCTCACACTCTAGCAGAGGAGCCAAGCCAGCTAGCTTCCTCAAATGTCAATGGCTTTCTGACAGACTAGTGTCTTCAGTAACATAAGAACTCTGGACCTTAGCTAGACAGGGATGCAATGGCAGCATCTCAGGCACTGAGGCAGGCTAGGGAAGGAAGGAAGGGGCTCTCCCAGTGTGGCTTGCTTGGGGTAGGGGAGGGGAAGGTAAGATTTAAGATTCTTACCTCTGAGCTGTGCTATGCTGCCTTCCACTACATGCCTCAGAAACACAGCGGGTGAAGGCACCCACATACCTTGTTTTAGGAACCCCCTGAAGAAACAAGAGGTCAGGCAGAGGGAACACAGTCCCCTTCTTGGTGCAAGGGCTTGACTTCAGCTGTGCTTTTTCTCCTATCGAGGAAGAGCTGGGTGAAGGAACTAGAATAAAAGGAAGTGCTAATGGATGCAGGACACCAAACTGATACCACCCCGGCTCCTGAGCTGTCTGGGCTTTCCAGGATTGAGCCTGCAGGGAGGCAAAGCCCAGAGTGGGCTTATCTAAGTAGCTCCCAGTTAGTCAGGACACTTGACCGTAACATCCTATAAGATGGCTGCCTAAGGAGCTCTGGGTCCCAGCTTCTCTGCCCTTCAAGCTATAGACTGACATCCTAGATGGTCCCTCTTCATCCTCCTTGCCCTCAAAAGGACTTACTTCACCTTGGGCTTGCCTCCACAGCTCCCTAAGACCCCCAGATGGCAGAGCACTCTGCCTGGGCCCTGAGCCCCACCTGGCCCATTCTGAGGTTGGCTGTGACACCCCTCAGGAGCAAGTTCCCTTTAGAAGACCAGTCTGTGGAAGTCACCATTGCCACCTGCAGGGTTGCAGCCCCCTGGAGAGCCTTCATCTTCATCTTTGTCTTCATCGAAGCCCCTGCCCCAGTGTGGAGGGGCAGGGAGTGTGGAGATATAAGCTGCCCTGCTCCGGGCCTCCTTCTCCTGCTCCTGGAAATTGATGAAGACAGGAAGTGGGCTTAGCACAATCCTGCCCACATCACACACACACACACACACACACACACACACACACACAGGCTCCCACTGAGGGGCAGGATGGAAGGCTTCAGGTCTAAGTCTCAAACAACACTTTGCTCCCAGTGATCACTCAAGTTCATTGAAAGAACCTATTCATATTAGATGACTAGCTGACAAGTGCCTGGGACCTCAAGAAAGCCTCCCCAGGCTTCCTGGCCTCAGCTGTCCCCTCATTGTCTCTCTTGGGGTATGAGGTCCATCTTCTGCCCATGAGCAAGTTCTTCTCTGCTAAAATAAGATCGGCCTCTGTCAGACTTCACCAAGCCATATCTCCACTGCAGGGCCTGACAAATGTAGAAGCAGACTGGTGTCCCATTCCCTCACTCTCCTCACAGCAAACAACTCTGGGTTATTTGCCACCTCATGGCTATTTTGATATTGCTCTTAACTCTGACAAAGGAGCCTGAGGCAATGACAAAAAAGGATACTGGGACATGAAAATCACTGAAGAAGTGACCCCTTTGAGAATCCCAGAAGCAGCCCCTACCCATTGATTCCACCTTTCAGCATCAATCTGTGCTATTACTCATTGTCCATTCCTCTGAGGTTAAAGGGTGTGCCTTTCCAGCCACCAACATAATCCCACCAAGTGCTGAGTGAGTGGATGCATTTAAAACTGAGGGTGACTCAAAAGAACGGATAACTGACCTATGTGGGTGGCTGTGCTGGGCCAAGTCCTCACCTAGGAGTGGCATCAGGGGCCAGAGGGTCTACTGACCCTCAGCAGGGGACTCACCTGCAGGTAGAGGACATTGTCTTTGGAAATGGCCTCCATCAGGTCCTTGTGGAGGGTGGGCTCTGCTCGGACTCTGGGAGAGCCAGGCTCAACCTCGGACCCCTCCCTGGGCCGCTGGCGGTAGAAGAGCACATAGGCAGTGTCCTTAGGGAAAAAGGAGGTGACATTGCTGACAGACTCGAAGGATGAGAAGGACACCCGGGTGTCATTGAACAGGTACCATTGGTTCTCAGGCTCAGGCCTGTCCGTGGATCCCAGGACAGGGGTCGGCCGGGCAGCACCCTCACGGGCGTAGCAGTAATAATGACCACTTTCTGAGGATACGCCAGAGTGCACCACCACACTACAGAGGTCATAGGCCTGACCCTGACCCCCAGCCAGTGGCAGGCGCAGCAAGAGGGGGATGGTGACATCATCCAGGATCTTGCGGCGCCGCATGGTGCGCAGGTCGAAGGAGAAGCGCAGTAGTGTAAGGATGAGGTAACGTGGACCCTGGCTCAGCTCCACCACCTTCTCTGCATCCTGCAGAGAGGCGCATGACTCACAGTAGTAGCGGTTTTCAGCTGTCAGCCTCTCAGGGGACAGGAAGTAGTTGACCAGGTCTAGTACAGAGCGGGAACCCTCAGGGCCACATACCTGCTCCCTGGGCGGGATGGCAGCATCCCTGTGGGTCCCTGGTCCCAAGCTGTCCCCCTCCTTCTCCTTGCCGTTCTCAGCTTCCTTTTCGTCTTCCTTCTCTTTCTCCTTCTCTTCCCCCTCCTCTTTCTCTTCTCTTGCTCCTTCCTCCTCCTCCTGCTCCTCCTCTGTTGCTGCCTTCTCCTTCCCGGCCTGCTCCCTCTCCACCTTCTCCTCCTGCCCACTCTGTCCACCGGAACCTATGGTGCCCAGACCTTCTATATCTAGCCCAGTGCAGGGAGCATCCCCCGTGACACAGTGCTTCCTCTGCCTCTGTGCCCCTGGCGCTCTGGGAGCCAGGGCTAGCTCCTGTGCTCGCACATCCTCTGTTGGGAGCATCACAGAGCCCAGGCGGCGGTGACGACATCGCTCAGGAGGAGGGAAGGCCAGAGAGAGGTCTGTAAAGGCCTCCTCCCTAGAGGAAACATTGAGGCAGTGAAGACAGCATATCCGAGTCACGATCTTGCCTCCAAACATTTTCTCCACAGATGTTGCATTGGAACTAGGGAGTTCTTCCGGTGGGGAGGGCAAGCTGGACTGCTTGAGCTTCTGACAGATCCTCGTCCCAGTTTTTTCCTCTTCATGAAGCCTAGAGCAAGCAGGGAGCGCGGGTGCACACACTGACAGACAGGCCCACCTCCAGCACACCACCCTCCATACTTCAGACACATGTAAGAGCCTGGCAAGACAATTCCCACCCCTGTACAAAGTGGCTTGATAACATACTTGTATGTTAACACTCACCTAGCACACACCTACATAAATATGGACCTAGAGCTATGTGATGAGGGTTAGCACCCTCAGGCAGTGCAGTGACACATGCACACACTGACAGACCCCTCCCAGGCTTCACATGAACTTCAACATCTTTGGACACCTATGGTATACACCTTCCTCTGCCTTCCAGAAGAGCAAGGAAGATCCAACCCAGCTCAGAGGGACAAGCTGTCATCCCAGAATGTTCTCGGGTCCCCCACCTCCCTAACCACCAGCCTTTCTTACCGATCCAGTAGATACTTCAGATACTCTGAGCAGTCCTGCTGGGTCCCAGGGCTGAACCAGGGAGTCCAGGATGCAGAGAGGAAGTTCTCAGGAGAGATGGCTGGCCTCTGGGACAAGGCAGGTGAAAGGTGAGGTCAGGAGATCAAGCCACACACCCAGCAGCAGGCAGCAAACTATGCCTGAGGATCTAAGACTATGTTCCAAATATATCAGCCTCCTAACCTACAACCTTCCCCTTCCAAGCTGGCTCTGACCCACATTCCATCCCACAAGTCCATACAACCCAAGAGTGGGATGTCTTCGTCTTGGTGATAACTCTCTAGGAATCCATTCTGCCCTCACAGACCACAATAAGTCTCTCCAGGCCCTTGCTCATTATTTCTCTCTACTTAAAACATCCCCTACCCTTGACAAAGTGAGTCCCCCAGGATACAGAGGCCTCTTCCATGACACCTTCCCAAAAAGCCTTGTCTCCATTTCCATATCACCAGTTGTCCCCTCCCATGTGCTGTCAGACCCCACCCAGCCTGTTCTGTTTCCCCTCCCACATCCCTGGCCATGGGCTTTGGGTTGTGAAGGACAGAGACAGTGCTTGTTTTGTTCCCTCAGGTCAGAGACCCAGGTAACTGACTTATTCACAATCAGCAGATGAGGGTTCATTAGTGCACGGGACTGAACTCTGAAGAGGGCTGGGGTGGCACAGCCCAGGAAGAGGCTCAGGTGCACACCCTGCCATTAGGACACTGAATGGGCCTGGAAGTTTGCTATGAACTGAAGCCGACCCGGGCTGGGGCTCAGCAGCTCAATCCATAGCTTCTTGCCAGGTGTAGGCAGGTCCTGAGACATAGCATGACCTCCCCTCCCTGCCCCACTGTACCCATCACGCACCTGACTGTGCTCCAGGAAGGCAAAGAGCCACTGCAGCTTGGTCATCAGGGGCTGTGAGTTGTTCTCAGTCAGGCGGAGCACACAATGTCGAAAGCTTCAAATGAAACAGGAGCACCGGGTAAGCCAAGGCCCCAGGGAGCCGCTATTCCCCTATACCAGGCCACCCAGAGCCTATGGCATTTGCTCCAGATGAGGCCAAAGGCCAGGGAGAAGATGGTGAACAACTTGGCCTGGTGTGGCTGGGGTCATGGATTCTGTATGGCCTTGGTATGAGAGCAAACAGGACAACAAGGTGACCCTTGCCATCTCTTCCAGCTGTAACACCCCATGACTCCAGGACTCAAACATGCCAATGTTCAAAGGTGGGAACACTGGTGTGCCAGGGTCTCTGCTAACATCACCCCAGGCACTGGCACATTCTGCATGGTAACTTTCGAGGACTGTCATTCACTCCCAACCTCGGCCCTCCAACCCATTCCTGCAGCCCCCACTCAGGGCCCTGGCCCAGAGCCACACCGAGCTAAGTCAGTCCCTGCCCTCAAACCAGGCAAGTTCCAAAAGAGAACTTCCCTGACACAAGAGGACACTACAGGGAGACTAGCCCTCGGGGATGTGTGTGATCCTGTGGGGTCACATGGCTCCATCCAGGGCCACTGCACAGACAGCAGCACCTGGCACTCCATGCAGGTCTCAGACAAGGTGAAGTGCAGATGAGCTGCATAAAGAACTGTAAGCTCAGCCGGGCGGTGGTGGTGCACACCTTTAATCCCAGCACTAGGGAGGCAGAGAGGCAGGCGGATCTCGGAGTTCGAG